TTCTCCCGCGAGCGGTGCTTACTGACGTGGTGTTTACGAATCTCTCTACTCCTCCAGCTTCGTGGGCCACGCTTTCCGCGACGGTGGTTGCCAGGTGCAGTTTGCCGCTTTGCATTACTGCCGCGGGAACAGTGTCCATACACACCTCTCGCCACTACCACCGTCTGTGCATCCTCACCGCCACGCTGAGCCAGCGCGGCGGTGAGTTGCACCTTGGGACACCACCCGCCTACTATCTGTTGTGTCCTGGTTCGCCCGCGAGGGACTCACTAGGTCGATTTCGGCCCCGGCCGGGGAGCAGGCCGAGGAGGAGGAGTGTTCGATATCGATTCACTAATCGATTCGATACCATATCGATAATGAGAGCGAAGCGACCCGTTAGAGGCGAGCGCAGCGAGCCGGCGAGCATTGCGACCTGACGCGCATCCTCCGGCTGGTTAGGGGGCCCCACTGGAGGCGCCGCCGGAGGCAAAAAAATGGAGCAATTTCGCTTCATTTCCCATCACAATTTTCTAAAAATAGTAGAAAAATAGGCCTCCGAAGCCGGCGGTGTAGCCACCTGCAGTAGGTGTCCCGATATTGTGCCAGTTGAATAGTGCCAAAGTCCAGTACAGTGCCGGTAAATTTTCTTGACACAGACACAGGCCTGCTGAATAGTGCCAAACCGGCACTATTGAGGGCTGCTCGCTATGGTGCCGGTCCAGGCACTATCGAACCCCTCAATAGTGCCGGTTCACACCCCCCACACAGCCTTTTTTCGCCTCAAGCATTCCACGCCAACAGGATTCGGAGACGGTTTCCCTTCGAGCTACAAGTATAGCTCGGTTTCTCTCGGTGCGCGAGACGTCTTCAAATGTCACGGTTTTCCGATCGACTAGGCTCCACGAATAGGCTGGGATTTCGATAGTGAGGCGAGCGAAAAGGAGGATGGTGGTAGTGACGAAGGACATGGAAAATATGGCCAAGGATAGCAGTGATGATGCAGGAGGAAAATATGGCGTTGAGGGGAACAACAAGAGTTTGGAGCGAGATGACCTTCCTCACATCAAACGCCGCAGGGGCGCAGAATCTAGAGACGAAAGCCCGAAAAAAAGTGGGAAAATATTAGTGAATAGTGTGGTAGTGGTGATAAATAAAATATTTGTAAGGAAGGACGAAAACACTCCGAACAAACGCGTGTTCAAAAGTAGTAAGCCTTGGCAGTCACGTAGTTCTCCTCTCTCGGTTGCTAGCATTTCTGTCTTCATCCAGAGAATAGCTCAGCCTCCTCCATGACACCCTCTCATTTCCTTGAGAAGCAAATATTTTCTGTTTTGACGGCACTGAGACAGACGACGTCTTTTGGTTGGCCAGTCGTTTTTCTTGCTTCTGAAGGCTTGGTCTTCCCTCTAGCACTTTATCGAAGGAACAGGGGAGTTCGTTATCTTCTTCACCCCTTTTTTAGGTTGCATTTGCTTTTGTGTGCTCATGTAAGGAGCACTACATCCATCCATGTTTTACCTCCAAATGTACATCGGGTGCATGCATGAGCGTCTTCCTTTCGCTGTCCAGGGGTGCCTTCGAGGTTGCCTAAATAATAATAGTGCTACGACCTTCTTGCAATACAATACATAATAATTTGGTAGCGAGGCGAACTTCTATTGGGCAGCACAGTCTGCGGTTGAAAGGCAGCAGCAACCAATAGCGAGTGCTTGCGCTGAGGTGGGAAGATGTGCAACAAATCTAGCTGGTCAATCAAGTTAATTTTAATGTGACCAATGCCATGTTTTTCGACAGTCCAAGAGCCTCACGAAACTTGTTGTCCCACATCGCCCACCTCACCATTGATCCAAATACCGTTCGTTTGGTACTCTGTCAGTCCCGCAAAGCGCAAGCACCGCACTCTGAAGTCGAACAGTCCTGAATAGTGCTAATCCGGCACTGTAGAGGGATATTCAGGTCGTGAATAGTGCCGGCACTATTCAGGCACAATTCTGAATAACGCCGGTGCCTGGTATAGTGCCGGTCAACTCGCCTGGACACATACCGGCACTATATCGGGACACCTACTGTATTTGAATAAAAAAAGCGTGTGGGTGAAGTAGCAACAAGGGTGAAAGCATGAAGTATGAAAATGGACAAGTGTTTCATGGTGGCGTCATTTTACCTATCTCACACCACAAAAAATCGCGAACAAGTCGTCGGAAGCCAAATTCTCACATTGAGAGACCACAACAATGAACGGTTAGAACCCGCAGCTGCAACCTACCGCTGCTTTGCTTCCCGCTATTGGCTAAATAAGTGTACACATTTCGTGACCTCTATTTACTGTAGAGTTAGTGACCTCCTTCACTGCCTTCAATGCTACCACACCACGACCCACGAAGAAACACGAAAAAAGTGGAAGCAAGCCAGCCACCCGATGCCCAACAAGCCACTCGCACGCAGAGAATCACCACGACACCACCACGCAATAGCTACTACTACGCAACATCTCTACGACACGCGACGAAAAGTCATTTTTGCTACCGGCCGAGTTTTTTCTGCGAAATGCCGCTGGACCACGACAGCCCGTGGGAGCCATTCAGCGAACACGGCGCATCGATCGTGTCCTCCCCGAGGCGGTTACGCTTCTTCCGTGACTATGTTGCCGGCCATGGAAAAGGCGCGTTCAGACGCAGCCGATGACGGGGGGATCACGAGGTACTTCACTGCCAGCCTAGCAAGAGATGGCAAACGCTACACACGGCCCGATCCTTTGGGTCTACCAGAAACAGACGTTCCCTCCAGAGAAAGGATCGTCCTTTTGCGTCGGGCTTAGGCCTGCAGGTGATGATGTTAACCACATCCACCACTTGCACACACATCATCAGCGCCTGCGGCAGCCGCAGCCGCCTCCCCGGACGAGGCGCTCATGCACCCACTCGCAGGATTGCACCCTGCTGCTTCGAAGTGTGCTGTGTGCTACGTGATGTGTGTTGAGTTGTTCACTGTAGCTCTGCAGCTGTGCGGTGCTGTGTGCTGCTGCTCCTGTGGGGGTTCCGGGGAGCATTTATCGAAATATCGTATCGATATTGAATTATCGAAATACCCAAAGAACCAACTCTTTTCGATAACCGATATCGATACGATAATTCGATACGATATATCGAAAAAAACGATACGATATCCAACACTATTTTACAGACATCAAGACATCCAGACACGCACACATCGGCACGCAACGGCGAGGTGCTGCAAGTGCACACAAGCCAGCACTGAGGCTGAGTACCCGCAAGCCATGCGCGTGGTCCGAGCCGCCTCTTCGAACTCCATCTGCAACGTCTGCTTGAGCAAAAATTTTGTACGTGACCGCCATTTGGCTCTCCATCTCTTTCGAACGCGTTTAACTTGCGCTTGTTGAGCTTGTCCAATAACCGACTGACGGCTGCAGGTTGTGAAAGATACACAGCCTTGCCGAGTTTCAAGCGCGATCACGCCACGACAAATAGAATGCCAAAATCAATCGATACGCTTTCGGAAAGCGCTCTACGAGATGGTTCGAACGCCGCCCTTATCTCTCGCCATCAATATTTTTTCCGAAGAGAAAACGAGCGCCTTTGGAAAATCGGTTAGCGGGAGGTGTCTTGTAGCCCACGGCACAGCCGCACACAACAACGGTGCAACGATGAATCAAACTCAAGTGTAGCATGCTCAAAACCCTTTACATAGAGCTATTTCAACGCATCTCTTCCCCAGCCCCTGGCGGTTGGTCATGTCCCTGGCTGCTGTACAGCCAACTGCCACCTGCATGGGTGCACTCCGCGTTTGTACGTTACGCCCCTCGCCCGGGCTTTCTCTCGGAAGTGGATTGTTTGTCTCGCACAAAGACCATGATAAACCCGTTAACCCGAGCATCGAAAGCCTAAACATCACAATACACACTGACTAGTCACAGCTAGACTTGTTCCCCACCGGGTAGTCTACTGCTACGCACCAGGAGCACCACCTCTCAACAATGTCCCTCGCCCCTGTTCCTGCTCCAGGATGTCCATCAGCAGCAGCGGCAACCCCCACGAGGCCAAAAACACCTGGGAGTGCCACGCAAGGACCAGTAGTGCTGGCTCCTCCATCGGCTGTACCCGCTACAGCCCCAGCAGCAGCACCGGCTGTGTTCCAAACACCGTGCAGAAAGGATAGCGCGCCACGCCGCTGCAGCATCAGCAGCAGCAAAGGCAGCTGTAGCGTTAGGAAGATGGCCAATGGTGAACGGGCTAGCGTTGGGGATGGCGAAGGGAGGGCGGAGCTGACGACGCCGGCGTGCCGAGGCGGCAGCTGCGCGATTTGCCTTAGCCCACTGAAAAAGCCGTCCGGAGCTAAAAAGGAGGTTTACACCGTTCGGGTGTGCCAGGTTAGTGTTACCGTACTATTTATCGGGGCGAGGTAGGCCATTCCAGTAGAACTTGATATCTCACAGAAGTAACCATTTTCAGGAGGTATGGGATACAACAAATCGACACCCGCTTGTATCCCAAACGTTTCTGTGTGGGTTCTCCAGTTCGGATTGAAATGAACGAGACCGACAGACAGACAGATAGCGGGGGGGGAGGTATATTTGTTCCGTGTTGGCGGTGAGAGAAGCCTCGGCAATCGTTCCTTTCTAAAAAAAAGCAGCTCCTCTCTTACGTTGGTTGGAGGGATAGAGACCAAGAGAATTTCAATAGTGGGAACTATGGAAGCACAGGCCTTGGCCGTCTTTGACGGAGAGAACCACATGCCGTGTGCCACTCCATTCCCATTTCCCGTTGGTGGAACGTGACCTACGTGTCAACCCGGTGAGTGTCACTTGGTAGGAGAATACAGCACAGCAGTAGCGGTTCGTAGGCTGGGAGTCGGCGCAGGAGGCGCTCTGCCAAGCCCTGCAACCAGCCCTTCCAACGCGCTCGTTTTCTTTCATCCCGCCCCCCGGCTTTGTAGGGATGCGAGGTCAATGGTCTAACCACTACGGCGCGGCTATGATTCCGCCAAACCTATGTAGTTCCTTCAACGCTTCCTCATGGTCTAATACACCACGAGGCTAGTCATCTTCATCCTCTGCTTGTTCGTCGTTGTCCCGGTATTCATCACCCCCTCCCCCCCCCCCCCCCCCCCCCCCCCCCCCCCCCCCCCCCCCCCCCCCCCC